AGGACCTGACCACATTGGACTTCTGTTAGTACTTGAGAAAAATGTGCTTAAGAGTGAGATCACAGCTCCCTCTATGTGAGCATACTCTTTCTAGTTCACCACAGTTCCTACCTTATGATACCTACTTGATCATTGTTAGCATTTAATTTTGTGACCCCTCAATACAGAGCATCTTGAAAGTGCTCTAGAGTTCTGTCATGTAAACATACAGGCTTTAAATGCATCTCTCATTTGCTTAAGGAAGTTGGAGTTCTTTTCTTGTGGATGAATTTCTTTGTAGGTAAGCTTCAGTGAAGAGGCAGACTTCTTGTCCATAGGTGACTTTTACCCATAGCCTGGTAAATTGTGAAAAATATCTTCTGGACAGCATACAAGTGTCAGATAGTTATTTGGGCCCATGTTCTACTCTCCAACCCTACTGTAATTCTAAAAATTTCTTTGTTACTGGCTGGCTTTCTAATTATATTTATTTTATGTTTTCCCCAGACTACTTCTCTTCTCTATATTCAGACCCGTTCATTTATAGATTTCACATGGTTTGGTACAATAATACATTTCTACTGAACATACTGACATGTTTTTTTTCAACAAGAGACTCAGAAATAGGAATATACTCCCAAATTATATTTTTGTGACACAGAACATGCACCAAAACATTACAGGGCACTTAGGGCTTCATTCTGACAATGATGGCATTACTCAGTCTAGCATTTGACTCTTCCATTTCAGTCTTTCATGTATTTCACTTCTTGGGCACACTACTTTTGGAGACTCAGATCATAAACACTGACTCCGTGTATATCCGCACCACATCTTGGAAAGTCTCAGGGATTAGGTGAAGGAGGCAGTTTAGTCACACACAGAAAATGATGATTAGGGTAAAGGTCTTAATATTTTGGGATAAACTTTCTATTCACTTCAAAGATGATCTATTCAGATCACAGATTGGAATAAGTTTTTCAAGTCTTGTAGCACGGGCTGCATGTGTCTGCACTTTTGTTCTACTTTGGGCTGCACAATCTTCAGGTCTAAAATGAGGATGTACCTATCAGTTCCAACATAGGCTTGCGCTCATAGCCTCTTCTCCACTGGTGGCTGAATCAAGCACTTGACTTGTGTTTCAGTCCACCACTGCCCTCTTCTATCTGACACAATAAAGTGAAAGATACAAAACTGGGCTGTGCTCCAATACTTTCTCACTTTCAGGTCAAACCTGGTTCCCTTCACTCCCTCCTTCCCTGTTGTTAGACTCCTCCATCCTGCATATTGTCCTGGAGATGAAGAAACAGACCCCAATCTCTACCACTTAGAGCCACAGCTTTGGAAAACTGCCAACCCAAAGGATCCAACCATTTGTCCATCTCAGGGTTTTCCTTTCACATCTGGAATTTACCAAGCGTATAAGTGTAGATCTTCCCTCTGGCCTTCACTTCAATTTCATAGAGATTTCAGGCAAATAACAACAACAAAGCAACAACAATAATATAAATTGAGGATGATAGGAGTATCTAGCTAGTTGTGTATAAAAATCTTATGTATAGCTACATGTAAAATTGCCTAGAATTATGTGTGGCCCACAGTAAGAGCAAATACATTTTATTAACCGAGGGGCAGAATATTCCAGAGATTAAAATAATGGGTTTTGGAGTCAGTTTAGTTTTCATTTATATCCTCCCCTTGCTAGTTATATGGATTAGGCAAATTATTAAGGTTACAGTTTTATTTTGTGTAGAAGGGGCAGTAAAGCATATTGATATAATCAGGTTAAATAAATATGCAACAACACAAAAACAATGTAAAGATCTTAGTACAATGCTTGGAATATGCTAAGTACTTAAAAAACAGGTGGATATGTAAAATAGATGGTTGTAGAATGTGAGTTTGAAACAGAAAAAAAAATCCTTGGAAAACCTCCAATAAAATCAATGGTCAGTTTTAAGAAAAGGTAAATGCTGGCCCATGTGTCTATACAGTATGAGAAAAGAAATGAAATGTCTCATGTCACATTAAATCACATCCATGTTGTGTCATCTGAATTAATTAAGTTACAGTAAATTAAATAAGATTTTTATTTATTTATATTTTCTCTTTTAATTTTTATTTTAAAATTGTGGGATACAGTTCAGGGTTAGGTATACAAATATTCATTGTGCAAGTACCCTTGTTGATGAGGTGTGACCCTCCCTTCCTCAGGCAGATATCAAGTACTGTCGATTCCACCTCCTCTCACATTCCCGCAGTTTCCCGTTACTGTAAATCCCTTCCTTATAGTATTACAGTAGTTGTTCAAGGTCCACTTATGAATGAGAACATGTGATACTCAGCTCTTTGTTTCTGTGAGAGATCACTCAGTATTAATTCCATCCAGGTTGCTGAGAAGTTCATGATCTTGTTCTTCTTTATGGCTGTGCAATATTCCATTGTGTATATGTACCACATTTTAAAATCCAGTCCTCTTTTGATGGGCGGCATGGTTGGTTCCGTGTTCTTGCTATTGTGAACAATGATGTGATAAACATATGTGTGCAGTTATCTTTTTTATAAAGTGATTTGAATTTTTCCGGGTATATTCCCAGTAGAGGGATTGCGGGGTCATATGGAAGGTCAATTTTTAGAACTTTTAGGAATCACCACACTGATTTCCACAGAGGCTGTACTAGCCTGCACTCCCACCAACAGTGTAGAAGTGTTCCCTTTTCACCACATTCTCTCCAGCATCTGTTATTTTTTTGAGTTATTGATGATGGCTATTCTGACTGGAGTTAGGTGGTATCTCAGTGTAGTTTTAATTTGCATCTCCTTGATGATTAGTGAGGATGAACATTTTTTCATGTGTCTGTTGACTGCTCATATGTCTTCTTTTGAGAAGTGTCTATTCATGTCTTTTGCCCACTTTGTAATGGGGCTGTTTGTTTTTTTCTTTTCAGCATATTTGAGTTCCTTGTAGATCCTTGATGTTAGGCCTTTGTCAGACATGGAGTTGGCAAACATTTTTTCCCAGTCTGTGGTATGTCTCCCTGCTCTCTTGATGGCTTCTTTGGCTTTGCAGAAGCTTGTCAGTTTAATGAGGTCCCACTTGTCTATCTTATCTTTTATGGCCTGGGCACTTCAGGTTTTGATCAGGAATTGGTCGCCAGTTTCAACTTCCATAAGAGTGCCTCCTATGTGTTCTAAGGTTCTTACAGTTTGAGGTTTTACATTTAGGTGCATGATCAATTTAGAGTTAATTTTTGCCTATGGGGATAAGTAGGGGTCCTGTTTCGATCTTTTGCATGTGGTCAACCAGTTTTCCCAGCACCATTTACTGAATAGGTTCTCCTCTCACCAGTAACAAGTGGTGGAGGCTTTGTCGAAGATGAGTTGGTTCAGAAATTGAGGTTTTGCTTCTGGCATCTCAATTCTATTCCATTGGCCTATAGGCCTATTCTTGTACCAATACCAAGCTGTTTTGATTATTGTAGCTTATAATAAATTTAAAGTCTGGGAGTGTGATACCTCCTGCTTTGTTTTTATTTGTTGAGGGTTGCTCTTGGCTATTCTTGGTTGTTTATGTTTCCATATGAATTCCTGTATTGTTTTTTCTAGGTCTGAGAAAAACGTTGCTGGTAATTTGATGGGTATTGTATTAAATCTGTAGATTGTCTTAGGTAAAATGGACATCTTAACAATCTTGATTCTTTCATTTCATGAGCATGGAATATTTTCCCACTTGTTTGTGTCATCTTTGGCTTCTTTGAGCAGTGTTTTGTAGTTTTCATTGTAACGGTCTTTTACATCTCTGGTTAAGAAGATGCCAAGGTATTTCATTTTTTTTGTGGCTATTGTGAGTGGAGTTGTGCTTGTTATTTGGGTTTCTGTTTGTTTATTATTGGTGCATAGAAATGCGATTGTCTTTTGCACATTTATTTTATACCCTGAGGCTTTGCCAATAAATAAGATTTTTAAAGTGTGTAGAATTTGTTTTGTGTAAAGCATCAATATGGTGCCTTAGGAACATTAGCCAAGAGAAGAAAAAGTTGTTATACATATTTAGAATCTGTTATTATTTTTATTGACAATAAAATAAAAAACCTTATCCTGAGGACTTTTATATTCATTCACCATGAGGCAAATGTTGACTAAAATGTTTGTCAGTGTTCAATTTGAATTATGATCATTTTTGATAATTATTGTAATCAGATATCAAGATGAATGCTTAATATTTTTAAAAATTGACCAAATTTTCAGAGTGTTTTCAATTTAAAATTGAATGAAGCAGATTTTCCAGAAACAAATATTGGCTAACATTTAATGACAATTTGCTACATTTTCATAGATATTATTTATTAGCATTTTAAAATATTTATTGTAGATCAAAACCTGACTGCATATAAGAGCTATCCTGAGGAGGATATTTAAAAAAGAGAAGCCCATTTAGCTTTACTCTTGGAGTTTATGATTCATCAGGAAAATAATCAGGAATCTTTACTTATAAAAAACATCCTAGATGATTTCAGTGATCTGGATTTGGAAAATGCTGATCTTTTGGTCTCTAACACATTTTAGTTCTACACCTAAATAAATAATGCATGATATTTTAGTAAATCACTGCAAAAAATCAGATAAATACATTTTCCAACAATGTATATGTAACTATTCATTTTGGAGATATTTTAATTATGTGGTATATTATGTAAGAACTTTAATTAATTACAGAAATAAAAGTTTGAAGAAAGATCATCTTAAAAAAATTAATTTTTTGACATTGACATTACCATAATTTGATAATTCTTAAAATATTTCTCTCTGAGGTACACTGAAGTATACTGAGGTACACTCGCTGAGACAATTTTTGGTGGATACTCGTAAGGAATAAAATATTTTTGTTTTATATTTTTGTCATTTGTTTCTTAAAGTGGATAGTCAGTATAGTATTAATCTCTATATATTGAGTATTAAATATTTTTCTTAAAGGTTATTATCCTATAATACTTACAACTTATTTTGTCTTTTTTTTCAAGCCGGAGTTCGTGCACTGCCTTATCAGCTCACAATACATTTATAAAACAATATCCTAAAATATTCCTGCATCAAAAAACCAGACTGCCTAAACTTTTCAAACAGGAGAAGCAAAGGTAATAATATTGCCTTTCAACTGTGAGTTTGGGGTGTGTGTGTGTGTGTGTGTGTGTGTGTGTGCACGCGCGTGCACGAGTGCACTCAAGCTCCCACAAATGGAATTCAAAACTAAAATTCTTTGATTAGTTCCTAGCCCTCCATGCTAGGGAGCAGTCAAGGAAGTTGAGGTCAGTTGATAAGGCTAAGTTCATTTTCTTGAGTAAAAATATCTGTTCACAGCTGAGAAACATATTTATTTGAATGTTTTGTCAAAGAATAGTTACATTTTGATAATAATGTAAGTGTTTATGAAAGGCATTAAAGAACTCTGTAGGCTTTATGAGAAACTTCACATTGGAAATAGAGTGTTTTCAGGTGAAGGATATTTGGAGGTATGTTATGAATCAAGGAGTACATGACAAAGTCATAGAACAACTGAAGGGCTTTTGAGAAGCCTACTGTATTGATTCTAGGTGGATCTGTATTTAAATATATTTCATGTATTTTTAAAAGCCAAGAATGAGATTACTTAAGTGTGTTGCAGAAAGTGTGACTGCCCTCCCGGTAAAGAATGAAGATGGGGGGTCATATAATATCAGTAAGGGTACCCACACTTTAACTATATGATGACCATGTGTGTATCTAACTCTCATTTGTACTACACATTTTATAAATAACTAAATAAATAAATTTTACAAAGTATGAAGATGGATTGCCAGATCATGTAGTGATACTACTCTTCTCAAATTGTCACTAGTCCCAGAGGAACTATAAGGTTCTTACATCAGAGCAGCATCAGATCCAAAAACACTGTTGTGTCTCATAGAATAGTATTGCCATAGTTATTTCTTCAGTATCTTATAGTGGATATACAAACCCATCAACCCATTTTATTCATGAATTGTTCTATCCACAACCTCAAACACCGTACTGCCCTACTCCCTTTTTGTGCCTTGTATAACTTCTGCTGCCATATCCATACAACTGTATTTCAATTATGTATTTACTAATGCATTTGTATTTCTGACACAAGGGAGAGGCTGATCCCTAATTGTGACTAATAGATGTGTGTGACCTTATGGACATGCTACTCACTGGCTTGTAAGGGAGTTGATCAAGAATATGTTCTCATCGCTTATATTATCAATATAAAGGTACAAAGCCAAACAAAATTATTGTAACAAATATGTTTCCAGAGGTTGGAGGACATCAGCACGACAGACTTAGATCTATTTTATTAACCTACACCTTTCTTTTATTTATAGCCATAAGGCAGTATTTTGTAGACTATAACAGGCAAAGTTAACTGGGGAAAACTTCATATCTGGGAGATGGTGTTGCTCTGTCTTTTCAAGAACATTCTGTTAAATTAATAAAAGTCTCATGAAAATACGGATTTAAATATAACATTCTATAAGCTCTTATCTGCTATCTAGATCAAACTAGTCCCTAGACATAATGCCTACCTGGAATGATGATCATACAAAACTTATACTGCAATGTATCAAATTAACATCACTCCATATAAATAGCTAATAAAAATATTTTGTACTATTTGATTTCAAGTATACTCAATTTTAATTCCAATCTTGTTGATTAGAATGAGACTTGTATACTTTGTTCTATAGAATAATGGTCCAGGAGCTTTTATGAATAGCTGAAATATCCATCTTGCCTTCATATTTATTCATTAATCTACCAGGACCCGTCTATTCCTTTAGTTAAGATATTATTTTGAGAGGACTGCAGGGATGCACACCAGTAGCTTTAAAACTCTTAGTAATGAAACACCATCTTAGCGTTTTTAAGACCAAAAAAAGACCAAGATTCCAAATTTTTAACAGCAAAATTGTGCTTTAAATATGAAAGTAAAGAGTGGACTGCTAAATATGCAAGGACTAGGGAAAGACACTACAATAATTCAAATTTATTTGATTTAAGGTCAGAAAAGGCAAATAAATTAGCGTAAGCAGCAAGAAGAATTTTAAGGATCACATTTCTGAAGTGTTCAGAAATAGAGCTAGCTTCAGGCTTACATGTTGACATTGGTACTCAGTTTCCCTCTGTATATCTATATATATTGAGTATAAAATACTTCTCTCAAAGATTATTATCCTATAATATTTACAATTCATCTTTTTTTCAAGCTGGAGTTCGTGCACTATCTTATCAGCTCACAACACATTTATAAAACAATATCCTAAAATATTCCTGCACCAAAAAACCAGACTGCCTAAACTTTTCAAACAGGAGAAGCATGGGTTGCTTCTCTCCTCTTCGCTGGGTTGGTTTCATTTTCACACATTACGTGATAGGTCTAGACAGAAAAATGGCAAATGGACACATAAACCATGATCAAAAATTTCTTGAAGTCACACCAATCAACATCAGATTAAACAAACATGAAGAAATTATGAAAGGGAAAGTATAACTTTGAGAAATTGGCAATGAACTTTGAACTCATGTAAACAATGACAGAAACTGATTCAATCTCTGACTATAGTGCGATAGACTATATTAATATCAGAATTAGAACAAAAATTGTGAATCGTTAGAAGTTCAAGCAATAGCAATAACCATTAAAATCTCCAAAAGAGTAAATCAAAATTGCATCACAGTTTAATTATAACTAAAATGAGAAAGTATACATTAAAACCTATGAGATGTTATATTTACAGGGAATTTTATAAGATAATTTGATCATATCAAAACAAAAAATTAACTGTAAGAAATCAGGAAAAAAAATGCCAATAGCAAACAACACAAAAAAGAAACTAAGAAGATAATCTTATTTACATTAGCTACAAAATATATAAATTGTCTAAAAATAAACTTAGCCAAAGAAATGAAATATCTCTACAGGGAAAACTAATTGTACTCACATCTTTAAAACAAACAAATAATAATAATAATAATAAACACTTACAATATTGTTGAAAGAAATTGAAGCAGAGCCTCTAAATTGAAATATATCCCATGCTTATGGATTGGAAGAAATAGTATTGTTAAAATATCAATACTACCCCATAAGTGACATTTTTATGAAGGTAGAAATTCATGTATTTACAAAGAAGTTTGCATATTTGTTATAATCTTATTTGACTTTTATAAAAAGGTTACCAAATTTTGGTCATTTTAATTCAGAAAAGGTTAGAATATCCTTGTCTATAGAATAAGGAAGATGGGGGGCATATGACAATACAATGGATACCTGGTCCACTACCAAGGGCAATGAGGGCTATCTAGAAGCCAAAACTTCATCTGCATGCAGCCTATTTATGTAGTCAGTCCTCACTTGTGCCACCCCACAACTCTATAGTGAATAAACAAAATTTAAAAAAATAAAATAAAATTTAAAAATAGAAAAAAACTTAAAGAATAAGGATATAAAGAAAAAGCATATTTTTATATAGCTGTACAATGTGCTTGTGCTTTTTGGTTTTTTTTTGAGTTGGAGTCTCCCTCTGTTGCCCAGGCTGGAGTGCAGTGGTATGCTCCCAGCCACTGCAGCCTCGACCTGCTGGGCTCCAGCGATCCTTCCGCCTCAGCCTTCCAAGTAGCTGGAACTACAAGTGCGCGCTATCATGCCCGGCTAATTTTTTTTGATTTGTTGTAGAGATGAGGTTTGGCCAAGTTACCCAGGCGGGTCTCGAACCCGCGTGCTCAGGCAATTCATTCACCTCAGCCTCCCAAATCACGATATTACAGGCTGAGCCACTGAACCCGTCGGCTTGTGTTTTTTAAGCTTAGTGTTATTACAAAAGAGTCAAATAGTTGAAAACAAAAAGTTTATAAAGTCAAAAGTTACAATAAGTTAAGGTAATTTATTATTGGAAAAAGAAGAACTTTTAAATAAATTTAGCATAGCTTAAGTGTACAGTGTTTATAAAGTCTACAGTAGTGTTCTTCAATGTCTTAGTTCTCCACTTTCACTCACCACTCACTTACTGACTCACTGCAACTTCTAGTCCTGCAATTCCATTTGTCATAAGTACCCTGTACAGGTGTACCATTTTTTATCTTTTATTTTGTATTTTTGCTTTAACTGTATCTTTTTATATCTAGATATGCTTAGGTACACAAATACCATTATGTTACAATTGCTTACAGTATCAAGTAGAGTAACATGCTATACAGGTTTGTAGTCTAGGAACAACAGGCTATATTAATATAGCCTAGGTGTATAGTAGGCTATGCTGTCTAGGTTTGTGGAAGTACACTCTATGATATTCACACAAGGATGAAATTGCATTTCTCAGAAAGTATCTTGGTTATTAAGCAACACATGTCTGTGCATACTTTCTAAATTAATCAAAATCAACATTGGCTAATTTTGAAGAAAATGGTTAAAATATCAAGTATGTTCTATAAAGATTTATTTTTATAAAGGGTTAAGATACGTAAAAGTTAAAAAAAACTTGGATTATGTCTACCTCATCTCCACATTCCTTACATTGCACACTTTATAAAATTAACATCATTTTACCTCAAGTGCATAAAGAAAAAGAGCAGAATAATTAACAGGAATTGATGCTTGAACAAGCATCAAAAGCAGCAGCAAAGAAGAAACATGATTAATTCTACATAGCACCTACCTAGTACAGGAAAAAATTGTAATGATATATCCTTATATAATTAACTTCCCAGACAAGAAGTATGAGAACGCCTTTTACTATACTAGAATCTAGTTAATAACAGAGTACTAGAATCCAACTAAGAACTGAGAATTCACTAGATTCAATAGCCAGTGCCTTGACTTTTAGTGTCTATTTTGCCACTCAGTACCTGTGTGACTTTGGAGAGATCAATATGTCTGGATACCAGTTACCTCATATGTAAAATGAAATGCTTGGATAGGTCACACCCAATCATTTTAGTTCTGTTTGTCTAAGATTCCATTTTCTAACTGATGTTATAGATACTGTAGGGAGACATACAGGCAATGAAGATAATATTTTTATATTATCTTTTACTATGTATTTTTCTTTCTTTTTTTTAAATCAATTTTTTTATTATGATAT